AAATCACTACTTTATTACAAGTAACTAAACTTCCAAATACGTCCTTAAAATAAGGCCATTTTGTCTTGAATCACAAAGACAGGAAAATGAATCAAATAACATTTAAACCTGAAAATCGAAAGTTTTATCCTATACATACAAGAGAATTTTTTTGGGTGGGAGCGAGCATGAGTTTAGTGTACCTAACTGGTGGTGAAGGAGTTATATCTTGAGGTTATCTTGAGATGATTTCGGGGCTTTAGTGTCCCCGCGGCCCGGTCCTCGACCAGGCCTCCACCCGCAGGAAGCAGCCCGTGACAGCTGACTAACTCCCAGGTACCTATTTTACTGCTAGGTAACAGCAGTCTAGGGACAACGTTAACGACATTTGCGTTATTCTAATAACTTTGATACATCGGATAATTGAAATATAGAATTATTTATCACGTTATTATACAGCAAGGCTTTCTAGGTACTGGTCCATTAGGGAAGTTGAAATAAATGGCACTGTAGGCAAAATACTAAATAAGATTAGGGATTGGTTAACCCAATCTGTTACCTAGCAGTAAAAATAGGTACCTGGGTGTTAGTCAGCTGTCACGGGCTGCTTCCTGGGGGGTGGAGGCCTGGTCGAGGACCGGGCCGCGGGGACACTAAAGCCCCGAAATCATCTCAAGATAACCTCTCAAGATGGCATTGTCTTAGCGTCCCTTCAAGCCACTGGGGCACCGCTAGATTATTAATTATTAATTAATTATTATTAATTAATTATTAATTAATTTAATTTTTTTTTAGAGGACTTCTACGCTCTTAAGTACACATAACTGTAGGAAGAGATGCGAACTAGGTCGTGTGAGGCAGGTCCAGTGTACAAGAGACCACTTTCCTTCATATACATGTATTGTAACACTAAACGAGGGAAGGTTACGGGCTCACCATAGCCCGTGCTACTTGGAACTTTATGTTCTGAGTATCTGAATCTAAACAACTTAACATGGCATTTGATTCAATGATTGATAGTTTGTTTCAGAAGCAATGTTTTCCGTATCATTTTTCAATCTATATTTGTCTAATTTGCATTCGTTGAAACATCATCACTTTATTATTTCTTCTTTGTTATAATAATAATAATAATTTATTTAGGAACAATACGTACATAGTTGCAGAGTTACAGTACAAACATTCTGTTAGATTTAAAGATAGAGGTAGTACATACAATACCTAAAGCCACTAGTACGCATAGCGTTTCGGGCATTATTTTCATCTATTTGTGTACTTCAAACATCTCTCCTATTTATCATGGGAGAATTAGTTCATTGCTCTCAATCATTTCCTAAAATTTCTAATTTAAGGATTAACTAAGTTTTTACGCTGCCGTTTTTCATGGGAATTTAAATGCATCATTACCAAGTGACAAACTGGTTGATACCTGGTTGATGGGGTTCTGGGAGTTGTTCTACTCCCCAAGCCCGGCCCGAGGCCAGGCTCGACTTGTGAGAGTTTGGTCCACCAGGCTGTTGCTTGGAGCGGCCCACAGGCCCACATACCCACCACAGCCCGGTTGGTCCGGCACTCCTTGGAGGAATAAATCTAGTTTCCTCTTGAAAACTGTGCAATATAGTGGTAGCGAGGCTTCACTAGCATAATATAAAGTGGTAGGATAACATTAATGTTGCTCTTGCTCTAGTGGGGCATTTTTGGTAAGCAGAACTGGCGCTGTGGGATGAACCAAACGTCGAGTTAAGGGGCCTAAATGAATGCTCAGGAATGTACCTTATCTTGTACATTTGAACACGTTGCGTTCCGCGAGCGCTATGTCATGGGTTCGTATCCTGGCCGGGGAGGATTTACTGGGCGCAAATCCTTAACTGTAGCCTCTGTTTAACGCAACAGTAAAATGTGTACTTGGTTGTAACAACGATTCTTCGCGGCGGGGATCGTATTCCAGGGACCTGCCCGAAACGCTACGCGTACTAGTGGCTCTACAAGAATGTAACAACTCTTGTATATATCTCAAAAAACAGGTAAAAAGTAGCTAAGTATCGAGGCGGCCTTATCTTGTACATTTGTACATTGGAAATTGAAATAAGTTTATTGATGTAAAATGCTCACAAAGGGATGAGGTAGCTCAACCCTTTGTGAGTATTTTACATCAATAAACTTATTTAAATTTCCAATGTACAAATGTACAAGATAAGGCCGTCTGGATACTTAGCTACTTTTTACCTTTGTACACTGGTGTCTTGTTCTACACTAATCAGTTCCCCAAGATCACTTTCACACGTGGATTTACCACTATTCTAGTTGTTGAAATAGGTAACGCCACTTTTTTTCCAGAAATGAAAAAATTGCACTTGTCTGTATTAAACTGTCTGTGCCACATTCCCGTTCTAGGTTATATTAAAATGTTTTCCTGGAATATATAGATAACATAATACTAGGATAACTACACAAGACATGATATTCCTCAAACGTTCTTCTGAGAAAATGTCGGCTTTGAGAAGATATCTTTCAGGCCTGTGAATGATTTACTTGCTGTGGTAAATTACTTACTTGCCAAGAATGTCAGTATATATATATATATATATATATATATATATATATATATATATATATATATATATATATATATATATATATATATATATATATATATATATATATATATATGTGTGTGTGTGTGTGTGTGTATATAAACACGTGAATAAAAATGTGACAGTGTCAGACCACGGAGGAACATTGAAACAAGAATTTCCTTAAGTACTTCTTAAGTACACTCCTGAAGATGTATTAATATACGAAAGTACTTAAGGAAATTCCTGTTTCAATTTTCCTCCGTGGTCTGACACTGTCATATATATATATATATATAAATATATTACCTAATGCGAACAGGCTATAATGATTCCCAAGCCAATAGTACCTACTATATATAATATACCTAAAATATATGATATACCTAATATATATATATATTAAGTTCCTAATAACCAGAGCCACACTACATGGCCTAGTATGCAAGGCCCGATTTGCCTAACAGACAGAACGATTTTCATGTTTTTTTTTCTTCAGATATTTCATTCTAAATTGATTCTTTCCTAATAACTTTTATATATTATATTAAGAACATGAATTACTAACTTATCTATGCTAGGTTACGTTCAGATACACAGAAATTAAACGTATATAGACATATATATGATCGTATATACTATATCATATATAGTGTAATGGAAAGTTTTGTCATTCCATAAGAAAAGAAGCCTTGAAAAAATATAATATTTCAGGAAAATTCGGCTTATTAGGCAACTTGGAGTATTAGGTACAACACACACACGGTTGAGAGGCGGGACCAAAGAGCCAGAGCTCAACCCCCGCAAACACAACTAGGTGAGTACACTCACACACACACACATACATTATATATATATATATATATATATATATATATATATATATATATATATATATATATATATATATATATATATATATATATGTCGTACCTAGTAGCCAGAACTCACTTCTCAGCCTACTATGCAAGGCGAAATTTGCCTAATAAGCCAAGTTTTCATGAATTAATTGTTTTTCGACTACCTAACCTACCTAACCTAACCTAACTTTTTCGGCTACCTAACCTAACCTAACCTATAAAGATAGGTTAGGTTAGGTAGGGTTGGTTAGGTTCGGTCATATTTCTACGTTAATTTTAACTCCAATAAAAAAAATTGACCTCATACATAATGAAATGGGTAGCTTTATCATTTCATAAGAAAAAAATTAGAGAAAATATATTAATTCATGAAAACTTGGCTTATTAGGCAAATCGGGCCTTGCATAGTAGGCCAAAAAGTGAGTTCTGGCTACTAGGTACGACATATATATATATATATATATATATATATATATATATATATATATATATATATATATATATCACATACACACATCCTAAGGCTACCCAACGTCAAGCACTTGTACTATAAAGTACCCTTTCCTAACCTACCAGAGAACCCAAAACAGAAAACCGGACAGTATGTCAATTTCGGCAGTCGCTTCCATTTTCTAGTACAACGATTTTTGGCCATGAATTAAATAGACGTCAAAATGCAACGGTGTATTAAGAGGATATGTAGATATACAATACACATACAAGTTATGTATTATATACATACACGTTGATTTTAATTATAAATTATATTTGCAGTAGTATAAATGCCATTGTATAACTCAGTGCAAGTCTACATCATATATTTTAATTATACATTTTATAATTAACATCAACGTTTTAGATTAAATAAATAAAACTATTCTGTTCTTTTTACACACAGTTATAAATGAAATAGTGGCGATTGCAGTTAGTTTTCCAATATACATCACCTTCAGAAATAATTAAAATAACTCACATTTATTAAACCTTTTGCAAGAGGTCGACAAACTTGGTAATAAATGAATATCCGGGCTTGTATTTTCAGTTTGATAACCAATAAACATATGTAGCTGAGGCCTGGTCGAGGACCGGGCCGCGGGGACACTAAAGCCCCGAAATCATCTCAAGATAACCTCAAGATATAGTATCTTGTATATTTAAGAGACATTTATAATAGCACGAGAATATAGCATAAAACACGGAGAAAATATAGGATAAATTATACTTAAAGTTCATTCACATTAAAATATAGTCTAGTAAGTACATGAAGAGTCACAATAACGTGGCTGAAATATATTGACCAAACCACACACTAGAAAGTGAAGGGACGACGACGTTTCGGTCCGTCCTGGACCATTCTCAAGTCAATTGTGGTCCAGGACGGACCGAAACGTCGTCGTCCCTTCACCTTCTAGTGTGTAGTTCGGTCAACAATCGTCTAGTAACTAGATAAACATTTCTGGTGACGCATCTTGCAGACAAAATATTTCAGATCACAGAGGCCTGGTCGAGGACCGGGCCGCGGGGACACTAAAGCCCCGAAATCATCTCAAGATAACCTCAAGAATCTCAAGATAACATGATCTCTCACCTGTGTTTGCGTAAGACCAAGTTTAGCGGCCAATTCGGCGCGCTCCGGCAGGGCCAGATACTGAGTCCTCTGGAACATCTTGTTGAGTTGCTGTAGCTGCAAGGAGGAGTAGATGGTGCGAGGCTTCCTAACCTTCTTGCCCTTGGCTGTCACACGAACCTCTCCTCCCTCTGTCTTCTCCGTCACTGCAAGAGAAGAGAGAATTAGCGGCGGAGCCACTTGGATACTCAAGCCGCACGCTGGCACAGGTCGGTGAAGATAGTGGTTGACCTTTAAGATCAAGGGAGGTTTTAAGATGGCTTTAGATGTGGCTCAATAGCTAAGGAATTATATAGATTCATAATTCAGTAAGCTTCCCACATGCAGGAAGTGTTCGCTGCATAGTGTGGTTGTAGGCTAACGTACGTAGGCAAAAGAGGAGTCACAACGTGGCTGGAATATGTTCACCAAACCACGCACTAGAAAGTGAAGGGACGACGATGTTTCAGTCCGTCCTGGACCATCTCAAGTCGATTGTGACTTGAGAATAGTCCAGGAGGCCTGGTCGACGACCGGGCCGCGGGGACGCTAAGCCCCGGAAGCACCTCAAGGTAACCTCAAGGTAAGGTAACCAGGACGGACCGAAACGTCGTCCATTCACTTTCAAGTGTGTGGTCTGGTCAACAACAATCATAGTGTCATACAATTGCCAAGAACACCGGAGCCGTGCCCAGAAACAACCGGAATACTTAATGATTGCAGATAAAAAAAAAGCACACTTGCAATGATAAAATACAAGACGTGGAAGAGACAAGACGAATCACTTGCACGAAGAAACTAATCACCAACCTTAACACGACACTTGCGAAATGCTAAGGTGATGAAAATGTTTCGTCCCTTTCTTACGATAATTTAGTGTCACTCTTCTGGGAGTAAATCATAAATATTGTGTTTACAAACCTGCAGTAAATAAGCTGGTTAATGACAGATGTCTCGACGGAATAAAATATGGAACAATACTCTAGCTAGGACTAGTCAAGAGGTCCAGTATAGAGGACTAGTCAACAGTATATTATAATTAAGTTGGTTTTACAAGACTGAGTGGCCGATGTTTACAAGACTGAGTGGCCGATGTTTACAAGACTGAGTGGCCGATGTTTACTAGACTGAGTGGCCGATGTTTACAAGACTGAGTGGCCGATGTTTACAAGACTGAGTGGCCGATGTTTACAAGACTGAGTGGCCGATGTTTACTAGACTGAGTGGCCGATGTTTACAAGACTGAGTGGCCGATGTTTACAAGACTGAGTGGCCGATGTTTACTAGACTGAGTGGCCGATGTTTACAAGACTGAGTGGCCGATGTTTACAAGACTGAGTGGCCGATGTTTACAAGACTGAGTGGCCGATGTTTACTAGACTGAGTGGCCGATGTTTACAAGACTGAGTGGCCGATGTTTACTAGACTGAGTGGCCGATGTTTACAAGACTGAGTGGCCGATGTTTACAAGACTGAGTGGCCGATGTTTACAAGACTGAGTGGCCGATGTTTACAAGACTGAGTGGCCGATGTTTACTAGACTGAGTGGCCGATGTTTACAAGACTGAGTGGCCGATGTTTACAAGATTGAAGTGTTGATTTTTATGATGCTTGCTTACGCCTGCTTTAAACATACACAATAAACTAGTATTAATACATATGTATATATCAATACTATTTGATGTGTTATATTACCTGATCAACAGATCAGAGTAAAATCTGTCGTGGAAAGTAATCAGAAAATAGAATTAACGTCTGAGCGACGTTGAAGTAATGCATGTAAATCTATTATAAAATAGCGTAAAGCAAAACAAATAATTTTACTTCCATGATTTAATCTATTACATGGAGATGTAATAGATTCGAGTAGTTGGTAGCGAGTGTGGTAGCGCAAACGAGCAAGGGAGGTTACCTTGAGGTGCTTCCGGGGCTTAGCGTCCCCGCGGCCCGGTCGTCGACCAGGCCTCCTGTCGCCCGGAGGCCGACACTATTAGGAGACATCGGTCGTCCGCCGCTTTGACACGTGTCAAGTGACGCTACAGGCATATGGTGGCTGTCACAAACAAGTGACAAATGCCACTATTGTGACAGGAGTCCTGTTATATGAAGCCCCTATGGGCACCCCTGCTATATGAAGCCCCATTGGGCACCCCTGCAATATGAAGCCCCATTGGGCACCCCTGCTATATGAAGCCCCTTTGAACACCCCTGCTATATGAAGCCCCATTGGGCACCCCTGCTATATGAAGCCCCATTGGGCACCCCTGCTATATGAAGCCCCTTTGAGCACCCTTGCAACATCATGGTCTCAGAACAGATAGCGGTGCAAGTAGAGTACCTTGCATTGCCTCAAAATATGCAGCTATGCTTATTAACTTGAACTCGGGACTAAACAATCCCAAACCTCCCAAGATATCCTCAAAAAGCTGCAATTTTTAAATCAAACTTTCAGCACCGAAAACAAAAATCATCTTATAACTCAAACAATTATTATAAACAAGACAGTACTTTACAGAAGTAAACACCTTCCTGCACAACATCCAAGTGTTTTATAAGTAATATTCTTGAAGATGACAGAGCTATTAAGTCAACTGCCTGTAGCTTGTATTCCATATATTCTGAACTCCTTCTAGATATCATAAGAACAAAGGCAACTGCAGAAGGCCTATTGGCCCATACGAGGCAGCTCCTATCTATAACCACCCAATCCCACTCATATACTTAAGAACATAAGAACAAAGGTAACTGCAGAAGGCCTATTGGCCCATACGAGGCAGCTCCTATCTATAACCAACCAATCCCACTCATATACATGTCCAACCCGCGCTTGAAACAATCGAGGGACCCCAAATAATACATCAAATAATGTAAATGAAATTTAAAACGCCATTGAGAAGTCGAGACGCAACGCTCGCAAGTCAAACAGTTTGGTTGTCGCATTTTAAGACTGGAGAAACAAATCACCATTTAATCTGTGCAACAAATTGTATAGAAAAAACAAGGCGTCGTAAGCGTAAACAAACCCACGTGGAGAAGCTATGCACTGAACTCTTGTGGTCATTATACACTTAACGTAATGGAGATAATGATAATAATGATTCCGTTACGATAATGACGAGCCTGGATAGGGGAGCGGGAGGGAGGGGGAGGACAGGGAGAGAGAGAGGGAGAGGGAAAGAGGGGGAAGAGAAGGGGAAAATCATCGGTAATAATCCATCCAACACGCGTATGGAACAAAGCTGTTCCGCGATATAATTTACAGCGCTGCGGGTAGCGGATATCGCGGCGATGTACCGACATCTCCGCTCTTTTTCACGCTAAATCAATTCACACCTCACATATCTCCGCCTCTACACCTCCGGAGACCAGAGAAGCTATGAATACAACATTTAGCAAAATTCCCACCTGACGGGATAGCAATATAGCCAAGATTGCAATGATTATTAGCCCGTTTTGGGGTTATAGGATCAATTACCCGTCAGGTTTCAGACACCTGATTGCAAAAAGGGTTGTTAACCCATTGCTTGGGACTCAACTTACCATCTGAGGGCGGACTTGGGGCATGTGGGTAGCCAGGGAGCGGGTACCCATAGCCATTTTGGGCATACATCGCCGGGAAACCATAGCCCATATTGTTGTAACCAGCCATACTTTGTTGATACTGTTGAAACTGGGAATATGGGTTAGTTAGGTGCGGTGGTGGCTGTTGCTGGCTGTCAGACAGTCCGCCCTTGGCTAGTAGCTCCTGGTCCAACATGACAGTACGTCTCACTCCAGACACAACACAATTATCACAATTACAAGCGGTTAGTGCGACGGCCGCTACTCTGATACTGGGAGCACAATGGGCCAGTTATTCCCGGCATCCCGTCAAAGCCTGATGAAGCACTTTAATGTACCGACGGCCAATCAGCGAGGCGCATCTGCCTGCTAGGATCACGCTGATTGGATAATTGACAGGAAGATACGCTCACGCCATTGGCTGCAGGGCTAAAGCCCGCCTACCAGCCACTGAGTAAACAGTGTCGTCCGCTGTTGTCAAGATTACATATATATATATTATTGAATCTACTTTTATAAGCATTTTCACACATAGTAGTGTATTTATAATACACTTATGAGATAAAACTAACTTATTCAATAACTATTACCTAAATATTACACCACAATAATAATACGAAATGAAAAAATATAAAAAATGATAAATGATAATTATTAAAAACAGTAATTTTTATTGTCAAACAATGATATATCATTCAAATTCAATTACATATATATAACAGCTATAACAACAGTATATAATCGTGACAAAAATCATATCAATAGCAATATAAACGGTAAATTTATATTATATATCAAGATATATTAATGCTAGCGGGGAGCGGACGTTTGGCAGCGCGGGTCGGAAGCCCCGCCCACCACGACGCCAGTCTGGGCCAGGAGCCGCCGCTGCCAGACGGCCATATGTACTTTGTCCATATGTATAAAGTCACGACTTTGTCTATATTGATTTACGGGCTCACCATAGCCCGTGCTACATGGACACTTCGTTCTGAGTGGCTAAATCTGAAACAACAGCAACTATATTCATATCTATCGGCTATCACCTCTCCTCGTTTGACTTAAAATGCCATTAAATACGCCAATGAACATTTCCCTTATAAATCATCTTTATGTTATATAATTAATACAAAGAAATTCAATGAACTCTAAATTAAACAATTTGCCAATTATCTTCCTGGAAATATCAATAAAAAGTAAATAAAAAAATATTTCAGTAAGGTTCGGTAAATGCTGAAATGTGCCAAAGCTTTACTCAGTATATTTAATGTTTGATAAGAGAGCTGCGTTTGACGTGTTGCTTGTTCCATGACGGCTTCTGGAGACAGAACTGTGGTAGTGTGACCTCAGTCATTTATACACTGTAATTCAACAGGTATTTGGTTCATCCTTATCTCTCTCTCTCTCTCTCTCTCTCTCTCTCTCTCTCTCTCTCTCTCTCTCTCTCTCTCTCTCTCTCTCTCTCTCTCTCTCTCTCTCTCTCTCTCTCTCTCTCTCTCTCTCTCTCTCTCTCTCTCTCTCTCTCTCTCTCTCTCTCTCTATATATATATATATATATATATATATATATTATATATATATATATATATATATATATATATATATATATATATATATATATATATATATATATATATATATATATATAGTAAAGTAAATTTGGACTAATAAAACAAGCAATGGTGACAAAGTCGTTATTTTGTAAGACATTGAAGACATTGCCATCCACAGTTGCCTGGAAATTAACTTTCTATTCATCTGGCAACCCGTCCTCGACTCAAGTCCATTCCATCCAGCGGTCGACCCCACAGACGCATTCATAAATTTTAACATGCTGTTCATTCAGAACAAGAATTTTCTCAAATATAAATTAATATTATAATATATTAGCATATTGTGCATATATAGGCATAGGTTATAGGTTAGGTTCGGTTGGCGATTATTTGTATTTGTAGTACGTGGGTGAAGCATTTATAGCGTTGTGATTCGAACACGATTCGGCAGTGAAATACTTGTTCCGAATATGTTCGAATGTCAGCAGTTGTGAGTCGTGTGTAAACCGCTTTTCATTCATAAACAGCGGGGGGGGGGGGGGGTTGGCGGGTGCATGGAATCACTTTTGGATCTTTGTTTGGAGGACGGGCTGATTCATCTGCACTGTTTGGGGTCTCGAACCCTGGACCCCAGGAGTGTGAGGTCGAGGCTCTAACGCCTGTATTATGAACGACAGTCTACCAAAAGTCGTTACAGTAGTTCGAGACACAAACAGCCCAGGTTATCTTGAGATGATTTCGGGGCTTTAGTGTCCCCGCGGCCCGGTCCTCGACCAGGCCTCCACCCCCAGGAAGCAGCCCGTGACAGCTGACTAACTCCCAGGTACCTATTTACTGCTAGGTAACAGGGGCATAGGGTGAAAGAAACTTTGCCCATTTGTTTCTGCCTCGTGCGGGAATCGAACCCGCGCCACAGAATTACGAGTCCTGCGCGCTATCCACCAGGCTACCAGGCCCCATCAGGTGAATGGAGTTGAAGACTATTTTCCCAAGTAGCACAATAAGATAATATTATATTGGATTTAGGAAATTTAGGAAATAAATTATTTAGGAAATTTAGGAAATAAATTATTTAGGAAATTTAGGATTTATTTAGAAATTTATTTAGGATTTAGGAAATTTAGGAAATAAATTATTTAGGAAATTTAGGATTTATTTAGAAATTTATTTAGGATTTAGGAAATTTAGGAAATAAATAATATCATTATACGGAAGGAGTTTGAGAAAATTGATAAAAGAAGCCAGTTTAAACATATCAACGGAACAAAATTTACGGTTTACGGAACAAAATTTACGGTTTACGGAACAAAATTTACGGTTTACGGAACAAAATTTACGGTTTACGGAACAAAATTTACGGAACAAAACTTACGGAACAAAATCCGTAAGAATATTATAATATTTAACTGATTAAAATATTTGGTAAGTCCATTATGTTGAAGTAAGGGAACGCCTAAAGCATTTACATTGAGTGACCTTGAACCCAAATGGTGTCGAATCCTTTAGGAGTTACAAGGTTCCAACAGTATGTAATCCGATAATACATATTTCCTGTAGGTAATCTGATAATACATGTTTCCAGTAGGTAATCTGATTATACATGTTTCCAGTAGGTAATCTGATAATACATGTTTCCAGTATGTAATCTGATAATACATGTTTCCAGTAGGTAATCCGATAATACATGTTTCCAGTAGGTAATCTGATAATACATGTTTCCAGTAGGTAATCTGATAATACATGTTTCCAGTAGGTAATCTGATAATACATGTTTCCAGTAGGTAATCTGATAATACATGTTTCCAGTAGGTATCTGATAATACATGTTTCCAGTAGGTAATCTGATAATACATGTTTCCAGTAGGTAATCTGATAATACATGTTTCCAGTAGGTAATCTGATAATACATGTTTCCAGTATGTAATCTGATTATACATGTTTCCAGTAGGTAATCTGATAATACATGTTTCCAGTAGGTAATCTGATAATACATGTTTCCAGTAGGTAATCTGATAATACATGTTTCCAGTAGGTAATCTGATAATACATGTTTCCAGTATGTAATCTGATAATACATATTTTCAGTAGGTAATATCAGAAGGTAATTTGATATTTCAAACAAATTTAAGATATTGTATTTACAGTTGTGGACCGTAGTATTTCTTATATATAATTAAAATCTGGTAATAAATAAAATTTTCGAAGGGGAAGAAATATTTAATGTTGACGATTTTTTCAGATATATAAAGGAGTAGAGAGTATACTGGACCATTAGAGTTAGGTCAAGTGGCTGATAATGATACCATTTTAAGTTGACCAGACCACACACTAGAAGGTGAAGGGACGACGACGTTTCGGTCCGTCCTGGACCATTCTCGAGTCGATTGTAACACACTAGAAAGTGAAGGGACGACGACGTTTCGGTCCGTCCTGGACCATTCTCGAGTCGATTCAATCGACTTGAGAATGGTCCAGGACGGACCGAAACGTCGTCGTCCCTTCACTTTCTAGTGTGTGGTCTGGTCAACATACTTCAGCCACGTTATTGTGACTCATCATCTGCATACCACTTTAAGTAACTCATGAGCACTTAGATATCTGTCCCATACTTATTAACACTTTTCATACATTTGTGTACTTCTCTCACAAATCTCCCATAGTTCACCAATCTTCAATATAATGTAATTATTCTTTCAATTGAAAATCGCTAAACGAGAGATTTGATTGAAATCTACATTTGTGTCAGATATTGAATAAGTGGAAGTAAATAGATGTTTACTCTTGAAATACATAATTGACATCAGAATGGGGGCTAGGCTGTACAATATCAACATTCTCGCATGACATTTAACTAGAGAACAAAGTTGTAACACCAACAGACCCACAGAACAAAAATAACAAATGATAACAGGTAGAAAACCCACTTATTTTTAAACTCTCCTGTTATACTTCACATTTCTAAACCCTTCCTTCATCTTAATTCTTCCTCCTTATGCAACTATACTCACATAATTATCATAATCTCTCTACGTAAGAAAGATAATGAATGAAGGTTAATTTTGTCTTTCAACGTTTAAGATTTTCTAGATAATTTATGTTATCTTGAGGTTATCTTGAGATGATTTCGAGGCTTTTTAGTGTCCCCGCGGCCCGGTCCTCGACCAGGCCTCCACCCCCAGGAAGCAGCCCGTGACCGCTGACTAACACCCAGGTACCTATTTTACTGCTAGGTAACAGGGGCATAGGGTGAGAGAAACTCTGCCCATTGTTTCTCGCCGGCGCCTGGGATCGAACCCAGGACCACAGGATCACAAGTCCAGCGTGCTGTCCGCTCGGCCGACCGGCTCCGACCGGCTCTCTACATGTTTAATGTAAATATTTGTTTAATGTTTTATGTTTAATGTAATTTATGTAAAAACGACAATTAAAACTGTATAGAACAAATAAAGGCATATTTGGAAAGCTGAATCAACAAGACCTAAGTATAAAAACTATATTGTAGTTGATTTTAATATTATTAAAATAATCTAAAAAAAAATTAATTCTGTGGCAGAAGTGTTTTTGGGTATAATTTATATCTGATTATTCAAGTATCATTTTACATAACCAACCAATTATAATTTCACCTTTGTGAATGTACATTAATGACACTATGTAAAAGACACATCTAACACTTTATGTAGGGCATACGTAAATCTGTGTATCTATGTATTTACGTATGTAGGTTAGTTTAGCATTTTAAAAGCACCGAATC